TTTTTTTTTTTTTTTTTCTCCTTTTTGGCAAATCATTCCATTCCATTTTGCGTTGTATTTATTGTATCATACCGTTCATTCTTCTGTTAATAATTTGTTCGTGTGATTACACAAAAGATTCATTGCGCATCTTTCGTCATTATTTATATTTATCTATTCGTACAATGAAGATAACATGTTCGTTGCACTTTACTTTTCGATATACATTTTCAACAATCACGATCACTTCTCTTATTACTTTTACTTAATATAGAACATATATATACATATATATATATATATATATTCTATATTACTATTATATATATTCACATATAAACTATATTCATTCTCATATCATGGCTTGGTGGAATCGAATATTAGCGATAGAATATTAAATTTATTTCCTCGTGCAAATTCCAAAGCAAAATAAATTTAATTGGTCGCCGTGAATAGTTGCGAAGCCCTTCGAATCCGAGGTAAAAAAAAAGAAAAAGAAAAAGAAAAATTCGAATATATATAATATATATATATATATATACACAAATAAAAATCTTGACTCGCATTCGAGGGGCGGGCATTTGAATGTCATTTTAACATTATTCACGCGCTTTGATTTAATCGAAAAAAAAAAAAAATCGAATCGTCCCTGATCGAATATCACAATGCTTCGCGAAAAGCATCCGAATACTTAATCACTGTCTATGTTATAGGCGTCCCGTACCCAATATTCCTCCCCGAATTCCCGACAGACCGTACTACGGCCGATTAAACTGAGCTAGTCCATGGAAAGCACACGACACCTGTGCACACTCCACGCCCGAGAGTATTCGAAGAAAGAGTTTCGTTTCCGAAACGAGCCGATGACCGGGGACACGAGCTCAGCGACGAGACGAGAATATGGTGGAAGGCAATGTGATGGTTGTTACCCGACGCATTGACTGATTCGAAAAAAAAGATGATGGGTGAGAGAGAATTCCGGGAGAGAAGTTTCGGGAGAGAATCTTCCCGAGAGAGGAGCGCAGGATTCGCAGCGTTATATTTTTCTTTTTTTTTTTTTTTTTTCTTTCTCTCTCTCCAGATCTTCGCCCTCCTTTAATCTTGGCTATGTCTGTTTTTGTACAAAAAGAAAAAAAAGAAAAGAAAAAGAAAAAAAAAAGAAAATCTCTGATCTTCGTCGCGTGTCCTTGTGATGAAGAGGAAGGAGTGATGAACGAAGGAAAAGGAGGAGGAATTGATGGACAAGGGGGACGAGGAGGAGGAGGAGGAGGAAACAAGGAGGAACAAGGCTGTGCCACGAAAACAAAAGGGAAGAGAAAGAGGGACCAAGAAATGATGAACAGACCGGGGCAAGGCGAGGGAAAGCGACGTATATATATATATATATATATGTATATGTGTGTATATATGTATATGGATGGCTGTGCCTGGTCTGTTATCTCTCGATGGTCGACAGCCGGAGATCCAATCGGTCACTTCTACTTCTTCTTTCTCTTGATATTTCGTCTTCTATGTTATTTATAAATACCGTTTAGAATTACGTGTTTTAGCTGTTAAGTATTAATAGACTCGATGCCGCTCGATGCGCGCGATTAAAGCTGGAGGATTGGTTAAATGTTAAGGAAAAAGGTCTTCCGGCAAGAAGCGACGCAATTGTTATTTTTCGAAATAACCGATTTCGTCCTCTTTCCTTCATTAACGGTTATCAGTATTATAATAAGTATAAGAACCGTAACCGAAATTGCTCGTTCTTGCGATTTATAAAGTCAAAAAATTGATCAAATTAATTTTTATAATAAAATTATTGATCTGCCGTTCATTTTTGTTTGGAATTCTTTTTTTTTTTTTTCTTTTTTTATAATGAATAAATTTATAACGAAACCACGTATTATCATATCGGGTTAAGTTTCAAGTTTCGATCGTTAAACGCTTGAACGTTAAATTCTAGATAGCTTTACATACTTGTGCAGGATGAAAAATGTTTTATTAACGTATTCGAATATTAGGGCGATAGGACTCGATGCGATTCGATCGGCCAAAATATTTTTTAAACTAAAGCAATACTGGAGATTTTTCCTAGTTGTAAAGTATTCGTATTCCTTTAGAGGAAAACGTAATTTAATTTAGTGATTGATTGGCGCTTCTTGTCCGAGGACTCGGTAACAAGGTATTGTTCAAATGAGATTCATGGACGACGTAAACGTGCAACCCGATTACCTCGATTTTAGAAAAAACTTACTAGAGCAAAAGAGTACACACGGTTCGCCCTACGATTCATTCGATCGAACGGGTGAACGAAATGCGAGACGATATTCAATCGACCACAGCATTCCAGAAACGCCTGTGTGCAAGCTTGTTTGCGAAAACGTAATAAAAAAAAAAAAAAATAAAAAAAAAAAATTAATATATATATATTATATATTTTATATATAGAAATGAGGAGAAAAATTACGTGGAACCTCCTCGCCTGATGTTCATACTAAACGTAACAGTTCTTTTTTTTTTTGTACGATTAATTTATTGAAGTACGATCACGATGCCATTTTACAGCTCGAGTTTAAGGAACAACTACTACGATACAACAACTTATTGAACAACGAATAATTAAAATGTGGGAAATTTCTTATTGTAATTTTTTCACGGTTTTTTCGAAAAACGTAGAAACAAAATTATAGGTGTATGTATGTAGAGCGCGAAATTTCTCGTCTGACAACTTTATTCATTTTTATCTATTTTTATTGTTAATCTTTCGCATCTTGACGCGATAATATTATAATTGTGCGATAGATGCTTTTTTTGAAAGAACGAAAAGAGCCAAGGTTTATATCCTCGAAAAAAGAAAAAGAAAAAAAAAATGATAACTATTATAATTTTAAATGGAGGCCAATGTTGTAGAAGAAGGAAACAAATTGTATATATATAAAAATCAAATACGAGTAATAGTATTACGTATCGATTTACGTGCTCTAGGGAAAAAGAATTTTCTTTCTTTTTCCTTTCTTTCTTTCTTTCTTTCTTTTTTTTTCCTCTCTCCCCTCTTCTTCTTCTTCTTTTTCTTTTTGTATTAAACCAAACATCACGCGTCGATAGCCAACGCGCTATAATATACGACATCGACTGACGACTAATGTACCTAGGACATATCAGGACGAATCAAATAAATGATATTTAATACAAATCGATGATATAGTTCATGACAATATCCTGATCAATTTTTCCAGAACATTTGAATCTTCGATGATTGTCAGATCGTTCGTTCAGTATGTATTACGTATATATGTCAGTAAATTCTTGTTTCTTTTTTTTTTTTTTTAGGTTATATTTTATAATAACAATAACCTCGACGCTATTTGACGTTTTTCGCTTAAAAAATGAAATGTTGAAAGTGATTCGTGTCCTCGTATCCCCTTCCATTGTTGAAGATTTAGATTATTACTTTTGAATTAAATTATATCGGTGATTTACGTGATATATAAATGTATATATATATATATAAAATAATATTGAAAATTATACTAGAGTACGTGATGTTTCTTAGAGATTGATTTTGCTGAAATCAATATGACGTTACAAACGTGTCGTGATCAACGAAAGTTGGGACAAATGGTCGATCAAATGAAAATACTTGCCAACAATTTGGACGAGCTACGAGCTGAAATTTCTGCATTGAAGGCGAGCTATTTAACGAAGAAGGACGATCCTTCGCGTAACAGTGATTTGAAACAAAATTTAAACAAAAGTAGCAAGACTAATGTTTTAAGTAAATTAAAAAAATATATGAAGAAGGTAAAAAGTATGTATTCGTTGAGAAAGGAGCAGAAACGAAGAAATCAAGAGGTATATCGAAAATATTTTCATTTCAATTAATTAATCTAACGCTGCTCAAAGTAATCGTAGGAAATCGAAATTGAAATTTGTTATTTTTTTTTTTTCCCCCCTCCCCCCATTATCTTGTGAATCTAACGTTTTGATTAAAAAAACAAAGAAAAATCAATTTTTAAAATGAATACATTTGCACGTATTTCACTATTCTTTTATATCCTTTTTATATATCCGGCAATTTTTCAAATTAAATAAAAATTCTCAAGCTCTCCCCCCTATCTTCAAATTGTCCAAATTCTTCAAAATCATGTTCTGTATTCGGCAAACAAATTATTTGTCAGAGGATAAGTTTCCAATTATTCTGAGCAGTTTCTTTATTCTCGTATTATTATTTATCACTAACAATTTTATCCAATCCAATTCTTCCCCTTAGCCTTTCTATCCTTGCTCGAATATCGATCCTCCGAATTTGTCCTCGTTTTTAAATTATATTTTCCCTAACCAAAGAAAAGATATATGGAAATTGCCACCAAGAATCAAATACTTGAAAAGCCGTGGTAATCAAACAAACGACAAGCAAGAAGGCCAGTGCACGACGAAATCTCCGCCTACGCCATTGCACATGGAGCATGATAAAAAATTGGAGGATAAAAATGATCACGAATCGTTCTCGCCCCCAAAACACGAGACTGGCAACACGAACAAGGTGAACAACCATGAGCAACGTGATAAAATAGCGGTAAACGATTGTCGAACAATAACGATTGTTCCACATTGTTCCGAGATAAGTTGCGAGTTAGATGTACAAGTGGAGAACACAGTATGCTCCTCCCCTAGCTCCACGGTGAACATTTATTCGGACTCGTACACGTTTGCTAGCATCCCGCGAAACGGGAATTCTGCACAAGTGTCCTCGTCGGAAGGTGTTGACGATCCAGCCGGTAAGCAATTTGTGACAAAATCTACTCAAACCAAGATAACGAATTTGAGGCAAAACTCGAGCAACTCTTATCTCAAACAGTCGAATCTTTGCTTCTCTAAAATAAAGAGTGCCGTGATCACGAAAAAAGTTGTGAAAAATTCGGACGAGAGCACATTCACGATATGCGGGGAGGTGAATGACATGAAGTATTATCCATGCACGAAGACAAACTGTAATAAATCCTCGTTCAACAAGGAACAGAACAGCTTTACCCAATGGAACGATCAAAAAACGAGCGACCAAGATATTCCTCTGGTGAAAACTGTTCAAGATATGAAGGATAATTTGTCCGATGCGAGCATGAACAAGAATATGTATCAAAATATTTTGCCGGTAAAAGATCCGGACATATCACCCTCCTTGGTTTCCTTGGATTTGGAAGTGAATATTTCTAGCATTTCCGCCAACATCGAGGATTCCTCGGAACGTAGGAAGCCAAGAACCTATGTAATACGCCAAATAAGTGAAAAAAGTAACGAGAGTAATTGGCTTAACGATTTGGAAAAGATTACTTATGCGGGGCCATCTTCCGACTTGAGCCTTTCTTGCTGTAGCTTCTCGAATCACAATATTCATTTTGATTAAAAAAAAAAAAAAAAAGAATATCTAATCACACGCATTCATTTTTTATCTGTATCGAGGAAATTTAATAATTTCATCTAATTTTATCATCGTTATCGTATTATTATTTTAATTTGTTCGATAACGATAATACGAATGATAAAATTCGATCAATTTTAATTCCAACCAATGAAAGAGATCACGTTTATTGTTAAAAAAAA